GCTGGGTCTGAGACTTTATAATATACTCAGAAAAGACAAATCTTTTCTCAGTTCAGCTCCCACCACTGCCCTCCTGCACAGCAGCCTCTCATTCACTACAGCTCCTGAAGGATGGTCAGTAATACTGCCTAGTTTGGACAGAATTTTTTGTAAATGATTTTATGTGCCTCAAGTTTTGACTTTTTATGTGGTCTGATAGTGATAGAATAAGGGGATTGGCTTTAAACTAAAAGAGGGGAGACTCAGGCTGTATGTTCGGAATAAATTCTTTACTCAAGGTGGCGAGGTGCTGGCCCAGCTGCTCAGAGAAGCTGTGGTGTCCCGTCCCTGGAGGTGCTCAAGGCCAGGCTGGATGGGGCCCTGGGCAGCTGAGCTGGTGGGCAGCAGCCCTGCCCATGGCAGGGGTTGTCTGCATGGGCTTTGAGATCCCTTCCAACCCAAACCATCCTGTGATTATGATTCTCGGAGTTTGTTACTCAGTAGGTTTTCTTATCAGAACAAAGGCAAAAATGGGAACTTTTTTATGAATGAAATGCCCGTATTTTATGCTGAAAATCTGAGGAATGATAATTCTGTCCTCCTTTCCTCTTGTTTCTGATGTTTTATTTTTACCTGCTGGGCAACGTGTTTTGGAGCTGGTTGTTATACTCTGCCATATCAGTATACTGAAAACCCAGAGGTTTCCTGGCATAGGAACAGAGTATGAAGAATCTTTTGAAAATTGGATAGTGGAAATGGAACCTCACAAAATTACTGGTAATGGAGCCTTACAAAATCAGCTGCCAGTTAGGAAAAATGATGAGACTTCTACCTAGACTTTTACTTATTCTTTTTCCTGCTGTTGTCACATTTATTTCCTAATGCACTAACAAAGGACAGAGATGGCAGGTGTGAAAAACATTCTGGGACGAATGAAGCAATCCGTGTATACAAAGACCGGTTTGATCTAAACAAAAACAGTTATCTCAGTAAAACCTGCAGTATGAATCTCAGATGGGCTGCACGGCATGAAGCCAAAGGTTACCAAGCACTGGAAAAGCACAAGTGCAAGTAGGCCTGGATAGCATCCATGGCACGTCCATGTCTTTAGCACATCTACAGAGTACCACAGAGGCCAATTTGTCTTATAAGCCTTTAAAGAGCAGTAGAAATATGAATGCACGTCTCTCTGATGAAGGAGTAATAAGGCTATGCCCAGCAGCAGCTCAGGCATGGGGTGCCCCTCATTAAGGCTGTGCTGGTGCAGCCTTGGCTCCATGCCCCAGGTACTTGGGCACCTGGGCAGTATCAGAGGGGCTATCTGCTTTTGGAAGAGGACTGGCAATGTGAAACTCAGCCTTCGGCTGGTAGGGGAAGAGTGGAATAGTCACCTGGAGAATGACCAGCCATGCTTTAACCTAGTGATATTAGACCTATGAAGTCCATGGAGAGACGCTGATATATACCAAGAGTTTGCTATTACATTTCTTTCTCATCATTTAAAAAGTTTTCTCCCTTACCCAGGCTCCAGAGTTTAAAGCTCTGTTGTTGTAGGTGTCAGTAATTTAAAACTCTTACCTTGTGTTCAGCCTGGTGCTGGAACAGACCACCTGATGAGTTAGTTCTTCAGGTCTGTGAGTACATCTGAGAGTTTTTCCATGCAGGTTTTTATGGAGTTCTCTATAGTAAATTTAGGTATCTCTGATCTGAGTCCAATTTTTGTCTCAAATTTCCAATATATATTTCTACCTGTGAAACCTCCTCCATAAATTTATTATTTGCTTCTCACCTCAAATATTTTGTAGTCTGAGATGCTGGCTTTTGAAGCACATGCTGGGAAAAGAAAAGGAACTCACAGATGTTAGCAGTCCTTTCTGTAATTCTGAAGACACATATGTCAACTCCAAACTTCCCATTTCTAAGCCCAATTCTTTTAACCTTTCCTTGTAAATGAGATTCTTCAGGCTTGGCGTCACCCCTGACTGTGAGGCAATAACCGTTCCTTTGATAGAGAGATTTGGAGAGTGCCAAATGAGTCGTGTGAGAGGTATTTTTCTCTCTCTGCCTCTCTCTTTACTCTCCCCACTTCTGCAATGTCCATATTATAAATCTGCTGAATAACATCCACACAGACGGGGACATAAATATACTACAGTGTTCTGACAATGGGCTTTGAATGTTTCTCCTTTCCAGATCGAATAATATACGTCACATCACTCCCATATATCAGAGAACAGCCAGCGCAGCAAAATGTTTTTGGATTTCCTGCCATAGCAGGAAACCATGGGCAGAAATGGTTCCCATCAGAGGGGCTGACCAATGGGAATATCTTGAAATCCTACCTCCAGGCAGTCCCTTGGTGCAGTGTGGTGATTTACACAGGGCTGAGAATAGGGAAACCCAGGACAGCTTGCCGTCGCATGCTGCGAGGAAAGAAAAGAAGGAAATTCAATTGCAGATGCTCTTGACTTGGAGATCACCTTAGGAGAACTGGTATTTCCCACTTCCTACCACAGGTGATGTGCATGAGGGCTCCTTTTGTCCAGAAAGAAAATCGATTGCATTGTCAGAAGAAAAAAAATCCCTCAGAGAGATGAGTATTTTATCAGGGAGGTATGTCTGTTTCAGATACATTAAAAGTCAGCTGCTTTTCTCTGAGTAAGAATTCTGTTCAAAGAGATGGAGGGACCATTTGTTATTTGCACTAAGTTATGAGCCAGAGTGCATCTGACTGATCTCTTTTTCTGTATAATACTGTGTATATATCAAGTGAAAGTCTCCTGCTCTGTGCTCCAGCGTTCATTACGAATGATATCCGCCTTTTATTCTGAAGGAAGGAGGTACTGAATCTATATTTGAATTCGTATAATTAGGCAGCGGTGAATTTTCATTTTCCTTATGTGAACAGACCCTGTGTATTGTTAGGCAGCCCTGGTATAAATTACAGATGCAAATCTTTCGTGCCCTCATATAATTTTGCTCTCTCCTCCTTCTCCTTCAGACCTCTCTTTGCAGCTCAGAAGTTTTTGTGCCATTTCTCTCCCATCCGCCTGGCACAGTTATACCCAAAGATTTCCTTTTCTCAACACTTCTGCATTTCTGCAGCTCCCTTCTTTGTTCCTATGCTCCTTCATAACTTCTCTCTTGCTCCATCCATGCTGATACATTCCTAATTCCAGCACAGCTAGACCATTCTTCCTACCAGCTTTCAACTATGTTTTCAGATTGCATTTTCCTCCTCCTTTTCTCACAGAGCCATCTTGAGTTGTGTGTACATAAAATACATAATTGGTATGGGGGTGTCTGCACTATATATGTATTAGTGGGACATATCATTTCCTGATTAGAGCTAACAAAGACAAAATCATTTTTTCTTGCAGAATCAGTGAACAGATTGCTAATTATGAAATGTATGCGAAGGCATATTTTTTTGCACATTGTGTTTTCTGGCATCACTTTGTTTATATACATTCAAAATTTTGTTTCCAGCAAACTTCACCCATTTAGTGTGGTAATTTCTAGGAACACAAGTGTCAGCCTTGCTCAGAAGTATGTCTGTTCCCAGGACAGGCTGTATTCAGGGGAACTGAATGTGGCAGAAGTGAATCAGAATAGAACGTTCTACACACTGTGGCCCCCCAGCTACATCACTTTAACCAGTGATGGCCTCATGTTCTACTCTTTCCAGATTGGTGCTTAGCACATATTTCAGTTGCTCTGTGCCAGTAAAAAGAAATCAGCATATCGAAACCAGCTCTCCATAACAAATTCTATATTTTGTTTCACCTATACGCAATTAAGTGATATTTAAAGGGATCAAGGGATCATGTAAATGTGAGCACACTGCACTGTTTCAAATCCCTAATCCTGTACAGTATGTGTGTGCAGTGTAGTTGTACAAATAATGAAATGTGGCGGTATGGAATTACGGTGTTCTGATGATGTGGGAATGAACAAGTGACAGGGACTTAGGGCTGGAGCATCAGTCTTATGAAGACAGGCTGAAGGAGCTGGGCTTGTTCAGCCTGAAGGGAACGCTGCAGGGATACCTCATTGCAGCCTTCCAGTATTTAAAGGGAGTTTATTAACATGAGTGAAATCAACTTTTCATGGGTGGATAGTGATAGGACAAGGGGGAATGGTTTTAAAGTAGAAGAAGGGAGATCTAGATTAGATGTCAGGAAGGAGTTTTATTACAGAGAGAGTGGTGAGGTGCTGGAACAGGCTGCCCTGAGAGGTTGTGGATGCCCCGTCCCTGGAGGTGTTTAAGGCCAGGCTGGATGAGATCCTGGGCAATCTGATCCAGTACTAGCTGTAGTGGCTGGCAGCAGGGGGGTTGGAACCTGATGATCCCTGAAGACCCTTCCAATTCAAGCCATTCTATGATTCTATGACTAGGTCAGGAGTGGGTGACAGAAGCCACCTTTGAGGAGCATTCAAACTCCCCATCAAACCAAAGTGACTGAAAGCCTTGGCAAGTGCTATGACTGCCCACAGCCCGCTCCCAGTCCTGATGCTGTCTGCAGTGATTCAGGCCTGGGTCTGGCTCCCTCACCTGGAGAGGGAACTGATTCTTGTCTCATTACTGCAACCAGCTGCAACAGAGCAGCTGTGCCTGTCACCCCTGTCACTTGGCACAGTGCCATGCTGCTCCAGTGCAACAGTTGGCTTGAGTGGGTTTGCTCGGGGAAACCCTGGAGAAAGGTGAAATGGGGAAGGGTGATGGACTGCAGAGATGGGAAGATCCTGGGGCAGCAACCACAGAGAGAGAGATGCGCTGTGATAATGATGGGGTTTCCTAGCTTTGTGGACGCTGAGGTGTTGGGAAGTTCCATCACCACCAGCTTGTGATAAGACTAGTTCTTGTGTGAGCAGAGAACATGTGCCCCAAACTGCTCCAGTGTCCCTCTCTGGTGGCAGCTGGAGAGGATGCTGCCTGATTGCTTGGAGAGGACAGGCAAATTGCTGTGCTGGCAAGGCAATGACATGGGCTTCTGCAGCATTTGGGGAGCACAGGAAGCAAAGAGAGAGATAGCCATTTTATTTTAGGCTTATGCTGTACATTGAGATTCATTATACAATATTTTTTTCCCTAAATTAATACAAAAATAGTAAAAATAGGTTAAAAAAGCCCAAATGAAAACCCCTGACATCTTGCAACCCATTTATGTGACACACAGATTAAGACTTCTTGGACCTTAAATAACCTAGGATTATTTATACTGACTTTCCTTTTTTAATTTTTAATTTTTTTTTTTTATTTTTTACCCCCCAGAAGTGAAATAGTGATGACCTGCAGAATACCAGTGGGTGCCCCAGGAGATGCTGATCTGCTATCCACCAGGCAGGGAGCTGCATAGGGGCCACCTCTGCAGAAACCACACCCCCCTGCCCCAACCTGTGCATGCTGGGCAGGAACACACTCCAGATCCCTTCCTGGGTCCAAGCCTTTGCCATATCTTCAAAAAAAAAAACAAAACCCAACGATTTTTCTCTTGCACTTTCCTGGCAGAGAATGGGATCACAGATGCTTGTCCCTGCCAAAATTTGGAACTAAATCTCCCCATTCTCTAACAAGACTGGGGACAGGGAGAGGGAGTAAGGTTTCCCCTGTGCCTGCCCTGGGGATCCAGGGTGCCCTGTGGAAATAGTGGGGTACCCAGCTGTGAGAGGAGAATGCTGCCCAGATGCATCTCCTTCTCATTGGAGATGCTGGAATATATATTTCACCCCGGTGTACGTGGCCCAAATTGTACAACTTGGTTTGTATGAGTTTGGGTTTTAATATCCACGTATGTAGGGGAGGGAAAGGCTTTGGGCAACCTTTTCTGTTCAGGGTCTTCTAGACGCAGAGAACAGAGAGGTGCTGCAGAGGTGTCAGGCAGTCCAGGAGCTTGCTCTATGCACAGGCTCTGGGCTGTCCACACCCTGTGTGCTGTGCAGGGCGGGGCTGTAACATGCACTCAGTGTCCATGCTCTGGTTCTGACCCAATGCATGTCCTCTTTTCTTCCTGTGCTCCCATCCTGCCTACATCTCCTGTCCCTTCCTGGGTAATTGCAATAGCTTCATGTGCACAGCAAACCTAAAGCCAGCTCCTCCACCCTGCTCCCTTTTCCCAGATTTCCAAGAATACTCTATTTTCAAACCTAAGCAGCAGGAAAATAAACATCCATTTGCTTTTCAAAGTTCCCCCCTGCAAAGATCACATGCTAAAGAACTCATTTCTGAATTTCTCCCTGTTTAAAAGAGAAATCACAATTTCTTTCTCCCTCTCCTGAATTTTCTCAGTTGTGCTGCTACTGTTGTTTCCTTGGTTAATAAAAATAAATGAGGTGTTGGCTGCGGTGGGATTTGGTGGCTTGCTGGAGGACAGCTAGCCCAGAGAAAAGCCTTTAAAAGTACACCTTTCAATTTACAGTACACATGTTACCTGAATGCAGTGCTGGCTCAGAAAGCTTCTGAGAGCAGATGCGAATCCTCACATGGCTCAATGCAACCTCAAGCCACTCTGGTGTTGTTTTCCCTCCGGGTTCATGCAGTTGTCCAAGATAAATGCGTTTGCTTGCCTTTGGAAAAGAAGTTCTTTTTCTTTGCTAGGCAGGTTTTTCTCAGCCTTCACAGCTCCAATTTTAATTTAAGTGGAACAATTTCACTTAAAGCTTTGGCCAGAAAATTCTGGCTTCATCACTTAATTTTTATGGTGAAATTATTCCAGCTATACCAACTTTTCTGTCTTCATTTTTTCTTCCAGTTAGGGAACTTGTAAATTGAAAATGGGCTTGTACTAAGCCAACATTAGAAAATATCTTACAAAAAAACTGGAGTGGTGTTAGTGGACATATGCACTTCAGTTGGTTCTTTTTCCCCATGTTTACCCTGTAGTAAAAATATACTGTACACCATACCTTATTGTATGGAAATTTTAATGTTTGTAGAAGATAAATGCTCTCAGTGAGCCACAGTCCTATATATTCTCTTTTGCTGTAGTCAAAATTTTTGCTGTTAAATTTTAGTCAGTGCCTGGCAGTGTATAATAAATACTGTTACTCACTGAATATATACAAAAAGTGGGTCATCTCTACTGTAAACAAAACCACAGTGAAACCTGGGCTAGAAAGCCTCTTAAGAAGGTGACAAAAACTGCTTAAACCTAGGTAGTCTTCCAAATGGAGGCTCACCAGTGAGGGTAAAAGCTGATGCACAATTTGCCATTTGGAGTGCTTTGGACTGAGAACAGAGCACAGTACCTGCACCTTTATCAATGGATGTGGCACATACCAATTGACTTTGGTGGAGACAATTGCTCCAGAGGAAAAATCCTATGGGAAGGAAGGCAAAGTGGGTTAGCATAGTCTGAGACCTTGAGGGTTCATGTTGAGGTATTCGGACTACCTGTAGAGAAGGAACATTTGTTGTCTATCTGAAACATCAGGATTCAGGCTGGAATCTCATAGCCTTTGGCTAAGAACACCCTAAGCATTTTCATGAGTTCAGATCACCAAGCCTACAAGCGGGGAATGGAAGGTCAGCTTGAGGTGGAACATGACGAGACAGGTATGTAAGTTGGTTTTGTTTCTGTTTTGGGTTTCTAGGGGGCAGTGAGGCTTCAGAAACTGCCTCTCACCTGACATGGACTTCTCTGTGCAGAGAGAGGCATAGGTCCTCTTCCCCATCCCACTTGTAGACAGCCAGCATGAATAACTGGTGGGTAACATGGTGCTCGGAAGACCTGGTGGGGGAGGAATCTGCCTTTAAACAGGTTTTTAGAATGGGTTGAGCAAATATCCCCCAGAAACAACTTCAGTATCATTAGCTCTCCCTTGGGGCAAAGATGTGGTCTTCCTCTCACCCTGTGGAGGCCCAAGCACGTACTGTGGCATTTTGCCATGGCACTGCCTCCATCCACCTTCCCCAACAGATCTGAAGACAGAAAGGCAATTTTATCCTGGGTTTTACCACTTTCCTTGAAGATCTCTGAAGGCCTCGCATGCTGAGATTTAATGATATTTGTGAAAGTACAAGGTTGTCATTGGACATCTCTTTAAAGACTCTCCTATCTATGCATTTCAATTAGATGTGAGAGGCTTATGGAAGCCATCCTTGCATCCTGTATTTGGAATTGATAGCATGAGGGGTAGCAGAGGTGTCAAATCAGTGTTTGCCATGTATTTCTCTCTACCGTGTACAAACCAACTCTTTCACACGTCTCCTGTTTCCAGGAGTCCCACAAGCCAGTAGATTGCTGCTGTCAGAAATGGTTTGCAATTCCTCTGTAGCTCTCAACTGAGTTAATGCCATCTGAATTTTAAAAGCCACTGCAGTTGCCTGTTGAACAGTCAGAACATAGGGAAATTGTAATTGAAATGACATAATGACTGCCACAGAAATTCTACAGTGGAAGTACATGGGAGGAATGATTTCTGGCTTAAAAACATAGCCCCACACCTGAGTCTAAGGAGGGGAAAAAGGCCTCTCCCTTCACCTCACATTCATTTGGCTGTCTCTGAATTGTCTGCCTGTCTGACTTCTGCCAAGGCTGATGTTGTTACTGCTTCTCAGCTGGTACTGCAGCAAATGGTGCTCGTTCAAGCAAAGAGCCTGTGCATTCCTGGACACACTTTCCTTCTCTTTTGGTCAGAGAAGAGTTATGCAGGGAAAGGCAAATGCTGCCAGCTGCACTGCCAACTTGTTTTGCTACTCAGAATGCAACAGACTGCCTCAGGGAGGGCAAAATGTCTCTCATCTGTGAGGGAGGAAGCTCTAGAAGTATCTGCTCACTTGAAATTTAACATTCACAAGGTGGCCTTAATGCATTTTGCACGGGGCAGCTGGGGGTGGCTGGGACTTGACGCTATAGAGCTGTTTCACACAAAGCAGCACCCCCAGGCTGCGGCCAGAGCTGCGCTAAGTCTGTGCAATGCTGGTGCCTTGCAGCCAAGCACCAGGGCTCCTGCAGGACCCAATGACCTCCAGGCACTGGCAAGCACCACGCCAGCTGCTGAGAACTTGTACAGCACTCTTGGGTCGGTACATTCATGAGATTGCCTGATGCACATGTCACCTTCCTGCAGACGGTTTTTTTGCAGGCCATTTATAGCTGGAGCACTCTCAGCAAAACCCAGAGAATTGGCTCATGTATCCCAACCCGGTAACAAACCACTGAGTAATAATCACGTAGTTCTGAGGGGTAGAAGGGTGCAGGGTTGGACAAAATGCTTTGTTATCTGTATTACTCCACATCAGAGACACTGATGGAATTATTTGGAACTCACAGCTCCAACAAGAATCAGTAATGTAATCTTTTTTGTTTCCAATAGGCCACTTTGATATGGGCTCTTTGGGCACGTTGTTCAACTTCAGTTTGTTACGTACAACTCTGAGGGTCTGCTGCGTCTTGGAAGAGCCCATAGCTGTCAGGTCTATTGCTTTACTGGCAATCCAGGAAGATGGAGGGATTAAATCACGCATTCCATAAAACTACCTACTAATCCTTTTAGTGTGCATTACTAGTGAATGGCCTGAAATAGGCTCTCACCAAAAGAGCCCTAACATTCACTTTCTCGGCAACGTTTTAGTGCATGAGGTTTGCATCATGGATTTGGGCGCTGAAATATCCAGTACACCGTCTTCTGTCTGCTGCTAGATCCGCTCACATGTATTAGTAGAGTGCTAACAAGGTTACACTTGGTAAAGCAGGTTATGTGTTTAGCTAGTAGCGAGACATTTATAAAATAGAATTATATGGTTTCTACAGTGACAGAGTCACTGGGATTTTCTGTTCTTTTTTTTTTTTTTTTCTTCTTTTTTTGTTTTTATAAGAAAAAGAAACAGCTATAAAACCATGATTAAAAATGTTACGCAGGATGATTTACATTTTAAAATAAGGATATTTTTAGAAGAAAAAAAAGTGATTTATAGCATAAAAGTGTTTGGAAAGTGTTTGGTTGCTGTGTACTGCCTTCTTTCTCAGTACAGTTTGCTATCTGTTATACAGTCTTGCATAAATGTTTAGATTAGGGGAGAAAAGAAAAATTAAACATGATGGCTAAGACCTATAAGAGTGGACTCACTGACTTGAGTTATTGCTTTGCAGAAAGTTTGTAAAGCCTTTACATCCAGCGAATACTTAGTGCTACTTCATCCTTGACAGCTGACCTTTCAATCTGATGGGGTTTAGCAACAATAATTGCAGTATCTGCAGCACAAGCAATGCATAAGGCTGCTTAGGAACCCAACCTCTCTCATTAGATTTTACTTCAAGCGTCTGAAATTCATCCCCTCTTTGCACAGGTGTGCAAATTCTCTCGTAATACCTGTTACTGGAGCTGATCAAGGTGCAATCCCCTGGCTCTTTTATTTTCTTTTTAAATTTCTCATTTTGAATATTCCTGGATTTAGCTTAGAGGGGGGAGGAGAAACCTCCAAACCCCTTTCTCTCTCCAGATACTGAGTCAGTACTGGTTTATTTTTTTCTCAGTAAGACCTACTGTAAAAAAGCAACAAACAAACAAGTTAGACTGTTGTAATTTGGTCAACCACTCGAGTGCTATCCATATCCACCATTTCAACACACTCTATTTCCTCACGATTTTCAGGATTCTTCTTCTCTTTCCTCTTCTTCTTGGACGGTGGCAAAAAAGTCAATATCACAGGTAAAATGGCAAAGCAGTGAAAGAAGGTGACTAATGCTATTAAAAACAAGCACCTGAACAGTGTACGGGTCAGATTTGAAGGCACAGCTGCAAGAGGAATCAGACCAACAATATAGCAGAGGTAGCTCTGCAAAATAGCTACCCCATGCACTTCCAGGGCATTTTTCACCCATTTAGTTCTTGTGAACTCTTTGCCCAGGACAAAGGTTGATAACAGTGGAGCACAGTTGTCAATTGTATAATTAATTCCGTAAATCAAGCACAACACAGAAATACAATCTAGTTCCACTTTCCACAAGGTCATAAAACCTATAACTCCAAACTCAACCGAGGCAACAGTTAGAGTGAGCCATACATTGATCAGAGAGTCTGCCACCAGGAATGCAGAGAAGAAGAGCAGAAATAAAGCACTAATGCAGGAGTTTTGTAAGGGGGCTCCCACTGAAGAGGCGTAACGATCCATGTACACAAATGATGGATTGAAAACGATGAATTTCACCTTGGAGGTGAGAGAGAGCTTCCTCAGGGTTTCCAGGAGGTCATAAAGTTCTTCCCTCTTGGATTCCATTGTCTTGGCCACCAGGAACATTCTGGAGGCCACGACATCAACTTCGTTGTTGTATTTCTTGGAAAAGATGATATCCTCTGAAAAATGGGCAAACTGAGGGGCTTTCAAGAAGGAGTTCCTCAACATATCGGTGAAATTTTTCTTGGGCAATCCAGTAGATATGTTGAGTTTCCTAAGGTAATTTAAGTAGCTCTCAAACCAAGATATCCTCACAAAGCCCTTGGTATACTCCAGCACGTCCTCCTGGACACTGGTGTTCCAGTACTCTATCGACTCGTAGATGTAGAACCCAATCACCGGGCTATAGTTACTGAAATACTTCTGCTGGGCAGCCGTATACTCAATGGTCCGTGTAGCGGTCGCTACGATGTTGCTCAGGTCTGACCCTTCACTGACCTGCAGGTAGCCCATTAAGGCAAAGGAAATATAAACAAGGTAAAAGAGAACTACAAAAGGCTTGACGTAAGTGTTTGTTATCCAGTCACAATAATAGCGTTTAAGGAACCACACCAAAAGATGACTCTCGTAAGTGTTCGTTTCCTCTGAATCCGTTGTGTCCTCACTGAATCTGGCTGTCAGAAGAAACCTATACCATGCAGGCTTCTCTTGCAATACCTCTGGCTTTGGTACCTTTCTACAGAAGATACTATGCTGGTAGTTGTTTTCTATGTAGCCAGTAAACACCAGGCTGGAACCATAAAAGGAGAGTACATAGAGGTAGTTGAAGAAAATTGCAATACAGGAATTGCAGCAGAAAATCCTGGCTGCTTCAATGTTAGTGAAGGGACTGGCACCTATTCCAAAAGTGACCAGGTACATGGCAGTGGTGAGGGAAAACGAGAGCATGGAGTCTGCAAATACGGCTGCAGTCCTCTCTTTAACATGTTGGTCTTCTCTAGTTTTTCTCCAGGAGGACAACATTTCAAAAGTCCCATATAACCCATGACCTAAAATAGAGAACAAAGCAAGTATTTAAAGTAGTATTTAAAGTGCTCAAATAAACATGTGGAAAAAGGTAACAAGGACATACTAAAAGGCTCCAAGGAGATACATCTGGATGTTAACAATTCTTGAGGTAAGCGTCCTGCAGAAGAGAGAAAATATTATGGAGCTCTAAGCCACTGAAGCGTGTTTGCTACCTGACTAGCAAACCTTACTGCCAGAGCTGGAGGAGAGTTCTGCTTCACTGATGCAGGGTTGATGGGTTAAAGAAAAAAGTATTTTCTCTGGCTGGCTGTTCCGTTTCAATATTTTGGAGTGCCTGTGATGGAAGATGCTTTGAAATTAGTTTTTCTTGGTGATGGAATCTGACCTGTGGTGGAAACAAAGAAATATGACCTTGAAGTGCCAATGCTGGAAGCAGAGCATTAGTTGGCTGCTTTGTAGAATGACTGCAAAAAATGAAACCTTCATATAAGCTGAATTCTGTCAAGTAAATCAGTCACTGACTTCTCCACTTCCTATACAGATTTTCCATCAGGAAAAAGAAATCCTAGAAATGGAACAAAGAAAGAAAAGCACAAATAACTTTTAGAGAGGAAGAAATGCAGAATTGACATGAAACTGCTTAAGACATTAGTTTTCTTACTTCAGCATGTCTAAGGATTTGTGAAACCAAATGCAGCTCTTTTTCCCTTGACAATTCCTATATTTTGTAATTAATTAATGAACTCTTAAAATGGACATTGTGTTCACGAAAAGAAATAACAACCAGCAGAACTAAAATCCTGTGGGTAACTTCGAAGTGCAGACAAACTGAGAAAATTGGATGGTTTTATTTTAATCTCCTGTTGGCCATCCTTCTCTTCTGGTTCCTATTTTATGACTGATAAAAAAGATGCAGTCTAGGGCTACTGACCTCTGCTCACTCATAGTAGACCTGAGTTAGGAGTGCAGTCATCAAGCAGGAATCAGATGTGAGTAGATGAAAGTTGGTTTTACATAGAGGTGAAAGAAAAAAATACAGCCTTAACAAAAGTGTAATATACTCATGTTATAATAGATGCTTTCCATTGAATCCTACCCTATTCACTGTCTTTTCTCTTCCTCCTTGTTTTCGTTTTTTTTTTTCCCCCCTGTCTTTTCTTTACCTTTCCAGTTTGCTCTTGTTTTATCTCAGAAATTCTCAAGAGCCAGTACCCAGCACTTTGCTCTTACCCATTTTCTGGTAGCATTAGATGAAATGATCAGAGCAGAATTAGTCACCGACGACAGTGAAGTGCAGTCACTGGACTGCTCAAGTTGGTGCTCCAGTCCAGCAGGTCAGGGCAATTCACAGATCTCCATTAGAACTTCAGGCTGCCTGCAGGCTACCAAAATTGTTCTGTCGGCCATGTTCTCTTCACGTGTAGATGGTTATCACTTTTGACACAGAGGCTACAAATATCAGTCAAGAAACCCTAAACAAATGGGATATCCTCAGGAACCAGGACTTACTGTGTTTACACTTAACTGGGCTAAATATTTAAGTCACTTTACAAATTAACCCTTTTGTGGTCAGTACCTTTAAAAACAAGGTAATAGGACATCTGGTTTACTTCCTTATCACTATCACCTGGTATGAGAGTAAACAAGTTCACACTCTCGTATCTAGCAGATACCATGCCTACACTGTTGTCTGGAATCATGGCATGGAACACGACTGTCCAATTTGTAGCAATATTGCAGTCCTGGTCTTGATACGGCATTTGGCCTTCATCTTAATTGCCCTAAGCAATGTTTTACAGCTGCTTTCAGATGCCAGGTCAAGACTGTCAATTTGATAACTAGCACCGTGCCCTCTCTTAAAACTAATGGGGAATACTGGAACTCCCCAGACGTAAAATAAAGCAAAAAGCACAATCAGTGACTGGCACCCTGCTGTTAATTATGCGTCAAATAGTTATGTTCTAGGCTCAGTAGGGAAAGCTATTAAGCTTGCTTCCAGTGTGTTCTTTGTAAAGACAGACTGACCTTTATTTAAATGTAACTGATCACTTGCCAAAGCAGGGAGTGAGAAGTTTAATCCATTTATGGCTCCCATAAGTCCTGCAGACAGGCTTCTCTGAAAATTTCACATGGCATCGTATGCATTAGCTTCTAGTGAGCAAAACAGTATAAAATGAGGTCATTGAATATCACAAATTACTTCCATCATGAGCTTTAGTTATAGCACGTTTTTGCAAAACAACATTTCAGCATTAATAGGCTCCTGACTAAAAATATTCAGATAGCTGCATTAATTCGGACAGCCTTTGACTTTGCAATGAAAAAAATATTAGAGCTAATTAGATATGAAGCAGGATTTTTTATCTGTCACAAGATTTTGCATGATGTCTGATAAGACTAACTCCTGATACCCTGTATTTTCTTTAAAGAGGAAACATAAAAACACTTTCGGGACATCACTCTACACAGTCCTTGAGACTATCCTAAAATGGCAATTGATTTGGAGGACGGTTCAAGCAAATGCATGAAGAGGCATCCCCTTGTGCGCTTCGCAAAGCCAATGGAAAAATAGCTAGATACCATTCTATTTTAGGCTCGGCCCCTCACTACTCAATCTGTATGCTGGGAACTGTCATTTTCCTTCAGTGGTACGCTCTCGGACTCCTGTGCCCATCTGTACAACAGCTACAGAATTCTGATTTACCTCTCGGAAGGCCTGCCTGGATGGCCAGCAGACTTGCATACTGGGCCGACCCCATAAAGATAAATCTGAACTCACGCACAAATTAGGATGGCTGACCAAAGATTTAGCTATAATGAGATGTACCTAACTTAATGTACTCATCTAACTACTGACTACAGGCAAAACTTGGAGTGACTATCTCCAGCACTGTCTGATGCTTGTACGGGTCTCAATAACAGAGATTAGGGCTGATAATTGGTTGGCGGAGGCATTTTGTGAGAATTTCTTTCACTCTCCTCTAATTTTTGTTTCCATTTTTTGCATCCCTAACTGATTTTATTCTCTTGCTAGTGCTATGTCTAACCTATATAATATTAATGAGAACAAGGCAATTTTTCCATTGCAAATAAATTACGTAATTACTTTAACCGATTTTCCCTTTTTACTAGAGACTTAGCCACAAATCTGTAATGATTTGCAGCAATTTGTTCATTATTCACCGTCACTCAGTAAATAACAAATATGAACTCAAACAGCTAATGGGCTATTGGAGATCTTTTGCTGTTGACATTTGCTATTATGATTCACTGGTCGTGCCCTACAGTCAGGCTGTACAACTATGTGCTGAGAACACGGAGTACAAGGAAGGACTGGATTGTTTTATGGAAAAGAGATTCTGAATGGGCAAATGAAAATGTTATAGGGATATGAGAAAGGTATTGGAAGAAATAGGGACCAAAACCTTTCTGTGCATGCTGTCCTTTTCTACTACTTTTCATTGTAGCAGATACCGATACCACGTCTTGGACAACTGAGGACAGAAATTGTGACTTTTGTACACAAAAAAAACCCACACAGCATAGCCACAATTATATATTATTTTGAAGGACCTTAAATTTAGCATGGGCTATTTTTAATTTTAGAAAATAATAACAATATCAGTCATCAAACAAGTGATTCCTAGTTTCAATACAGTGCTTTTATGAGTAGCCTGAAAATGCTATAAAAAGTTTCATTAGCCTCCTTCAGGATCAACTACACATGCTTTGCAAAATCAGTTAGAGCGCGCACAAGAGAAAAAAAATCTTGTGGGGAGTTGTGAAAGCGAAGGCAACATTTTCTATTACTTACTATTATTGTTACTTATATAATTTTAAACCGTACTTTATGTATAGGCACTGTGACCATTCCTTTTAGCACCATTTTAAAATATTGGAAAAGAAGTGCTGCCTTTCTTCCTCCAAGCGGCTGCTCAAGCAAGAGACATCTGGCAGCTGAGGCTTCAGGCTGGCATTAAAAGCAAATGAGGTTGGTTACTTATCACAGAAAGAGGAAGTCTGAGTATTCAAACAGACTCTTCCAGTGAGAGAAAGCATGGGGAATGACTTAGAGTGAAGTTTTGGTTCCTTGCAGTTTTACCCATCTATGAAGTCACAGAATAACAGCACAATGTGGGTCTTGTTCTTGATCTTTGCAAGGTTGTGTGCCTGTGTGTTTGATACTTGAGCAAAAGCACTCAATAAAATCTCCCTTAAGGCCCTGAAATTGCATTCTTGGCACTTCCTTTGGAAGGCAGCATTTTATGACAAATTAATTTCATTCATCCCACTTTAGGGCAGCTGTATATGAAGCTTAATGCCCTCTGATCTCTGCCTCAGCCATGGTGAATGTCACACTAACATGGACGATGCCCACTGACCACTAGCATTACAGCTCACAAAGCTCCAGTACAAGCACAGAGAGCTCCCAGGGCAGTAGGCTGCTCTGGCAGCAAAACTGGAGAGAGAGGTCCTTCTCATTCTTTGTTACACTCCTTCTCTCCTACCTGAGTCTGCTGCTTGCCTGTTGCTCCCAAGGCTCCTGCTCCTAGGGCTGCTTCTGCACCAGACTAACAGGATGACTGGGATTAGAAACATTCACAAGATTTTTTGAGAGTTACTTTTTAATCCAAGCTGTTTTCCTGACACCAGTGGCATTAATGATGGGCTGAAAATGGGAATGAGTCATGGCAGGATGCATACATGTGTCCTTGTGAACTGCACCAGCAAAGCCTGACATGGAAGCAGGGATGTCGCTAGGCTTAAGCTGGGATTTTGATTTAAGGCTTTTGCCTGTATTGTAATGACTCTATCCTTGCAACACTATCGGTTCAGCTATAGCAATGCAGTCTCACTTAGGTTAATGCAAGTCAGAAATCATCCCAGCGAACAGAACACTTGCCTGCAAGAGGCATTTAGCGTGCAGTGAGGAAGTGTACAAATTTACAGAGCACTGGCTATCTTGCACCAGTGTTCTTTGTGGAAATCTGGAAGAGCAACTTAATTCACATTCAAAGTG